TTCTTCCCCAGCTTTTTTGTTTGTTTGTTTCCATTTTCATGAAATATCTTATTCCACCCCGCTTTATTTTGAGTCTGTGTGTGTCTTTTGATCTGAAGTGAGTTTCTTGTAGGCAGCATATGTAAGGGGCTTGTTTTCTTATTCATTCAGCCATTCTATGTCTTTTCATTGGAGCATTTAATCCATTTACATTTAAAGTACTGTTGATAGATATGTAGTTATTACCATTTTATTATTCGTATTTTTTATATTTTCTCTTCTTTCTCCTCCTCCTCCTCTTCCTCCTTCTCCTCCTCCTCCTTCTCCTCTTTTTTTTTTATATTTGGATTCATCTTGTTTGGGACTCTGCACTCCCTGGGCTTGTATGTCTATTACCTTCACCAGGTTAGGGAAGTTTCCATCATTATTTTTTCAAATGGGTTTTCAATTCTTTGCTCTCTCTCTCTCCTCCTTCTGGTACCCGCTATGATGTGAATGTTGGTACACTTGATGTTGTCTCAGAAGCCCCTCATACAATCCTCATTTTTTTGTTTTCTTTTTTCTTTTTGCTGTTCTGATTGTGTGTTTTCTGTAACATCTTCTAAATTGCTGATTTAATCCTCTGCTTCATCCAATTTTCTGTTGATTCTCTCAAGACCTACTTTTCATTAGTTATTTAATTATTCATTTCTGACTGGTTCTTTTTTATGCTTTCTATCTCCATTTTTATGTTTTCTATCTTTTTTTGAACTTCTCACTGAGATCCTCATAACCAGTGTTTTGAACTCTGCATCTGGTACATTGTTTGTCTCTATTTTTTTTGGTTCTTTTTTTTTTTTTTTTGAGGTTTGTTCTGTTCTTTTCATTTGGGACTTTTTTTGTCTCCTCATTTTTTCTATGTATTAAGTCGAGCTGCTACATCATCTAGTCTTGGGGGAATGCCCTTATGTAGTTGGTGTCCTCTGGGGCCCAGTGGCACAGTCTCCTTGGTCACCTGAGCCAGGTGCTAGATCCAAGTGTGTCCTTTGTGCGAGTTATGTGTGCCCTCCTGTTTTCTTGAGCCTTGATTGCTGTTGGCACATTAGTAGGAGGGACTGATTTGTTGTGAGGAATGGCTATGACTATAATGGATGAATTGGTTTGCAGGGGCTGACCCTATGGAGCAGGATTCCTTTAGTGGGACTCTGATGCCCGCTGAGTCTACCCTTTGAATATATCATTTGTGGGGGTAGTTGGGAGTTCTTCCAGTGTAGGCTGAAATTGGCCACCAGGTGTGCTGATTCTAGAACTTCTTGGTAGGGCCTCTGGTGCAGGCCAAGATCAGCTGCTACCTGTGTCCTGCCTGGGGCCATTTGGTATGAGCTACAAAGTGATATGCAGTAGGTTACCACTTGTGCTGGGCTTGGAAGTACCCAGGAAAGTCTAACCTGCGAACTGAGGCTAGCTATCACTAGAGCTGGGCTTGGGGCTGCTTAGCAAGAGTTAAGAGGCATGCTGAGGCCAAATATTGCTTGTTTGGGGTTTTCAGACCTTTGAGAGATTTTAGAAAAGTCTGTAACATGAGCCAAGACAAGCTGTCTATATGGAAAAGCCACTAGAAGCAGCTTGGCTGGGTCCACAAGTTAGGTAAGAAGGGGTCTCAGGGAATCACCAGGGTAGGGAGAATGGTGTTAGCTAGGTTAACAGAGACTCAGATATGGCATCTGCTTTGTTGTCCAGGTTAGGTTAGGGGAGGGCTCAACAAAAGAATGATGGCTTCTGCCAGCACTCTGTCTGGGAGAAATCTACCTCTCCAGCCCTTGCCCTGAAGCCAGACAATTCACTTCTTCTCCATGTGTGCCTGGCACCCATTGAGCCGCTGCCTCAGCTGGAGCTCAGATTGAGTGAGTCCATCAGCGAGTAAGTCTGTGCATGGGCCTTTTAAGAGAAATGTTTGGGACTCCAGCCCTTCATCTCATTCAGCCACTATCTACACTGGTTTTCACAGCCGGAAGTTATGGGGATTTTTTTTCCCAGCACTGGATCCCTGGAATAGGGAACCTGGTGTGAGACTGGGTCCCCTCACTCCTCAGGGAGGACTTCCATAGCCAAGATACCTCTTCTAATTTTTAACTGCCACACGGAGATGTGGGACCAGCCTGTTTCTCATCTCTACCCCTCCTACTAGTCTTGACATGGCTTTTTCTGTATATCCTTAGTTATAAAACTTCTGTTCAGCTAGACTTCAGGAAGTTTTCAGTGATGGTTGTTCTTTAGTTTAGTTGTAATTTTGATGTCATTGTGGGAGGAGGCAAGCACAGCATTTACCATCTTGATCAGAACTCTAGCTGAGTAATCTTTAATTTAATTGAGTTGTCGAGGTTGTTGTGTTGTAGGGGATCCACCAAAAGTAAGGTGTAAGGAGCAGAACTGATGCATTCCCACCCAATTACACAAACATCCATTGAGAGACTGCTCTGTGCAGACACTGTGCTTGAATGAGAGAAACTGAGTAGGATCTTGACATTAGATGGCTAGAATCAGTCTCTGATTACTACATAGTGCCTAGAATGTTATCTTGATTGTTTTTGTTATTGGTATAGATAAATAATTCATGCAGTTTCATGGATTAACTATAGATGTGCTGAGAAAAAAAAGCATCCTCCCCTTGCCATGCTCACCTTGGAAAGAAAATAATCTTCTTTGCAACTAACCCTCTGCAAAATAACTTCAACTTATTTTGAAAGCCTCTCCGTGTGAGAATCTGACCTAACATTCACAATCTAGCATAACAGCTCTGCATTTATTTTAGTAAACCTTTGGATTAAGGACCTACCAGGTAGGTACTAGTGAGACAAAGAGGAAACACATGGTACCTTCTTTTCAGTGGAAGAATGATACAAGAAAATCAGTGACTACACATAGTGTTCTACAAATTGAGG